TGTTTTAAATACTGAGGAAGATGTGGTTAGAAATATTGTGCAAGAGCACTCGGGTATCAGTGATCATAACACTTATCATTGGTGTTTATATTAAAACCAATTTTTAGACTAGTATGAATTCTGTTTCAGAGACTGCAAACAACTGCAAATTAGTGGCTGTTTAATTTGAATTGGGGGAAATATAATACTAATGATACTTAGAAAACTAATATAATCAAACCAACTCAAAAGAAAGTTTATATATAATGTACAAATAGTGGACTTCATTTTTTTTTATAAATGAAAAACATCAAGCTTAAAAGATTTAACATTCACTGGGAGAATGGATAATAAAGATTAAAAAAAAAAGCACAAAACTAATTTTGAGATAAAGGAAAATGTGGAAGTTTCTATACCTGAAACATTAAATTGACTGGCCCTGGTGTTAACGTAAATTGCAAATAGACAGAAATAATAGTGTACTTTTTAAATATTTCATGATAACATTACAAATGAAAAATAAAGCACTGGTGAATTGTTTAGAGAATTTTTAACTGATGAAGGAACGTAAAATGTACCTTTAAAGGTGGAGAATAAAGAATGCATTTTGGGAAAGTTTATTTTATCTAAAATTTTGAGCAGTACAGAAAAAAGTTAACAACTTATGAATTGAAAAATTCATTGAGGAGATGGGGTGTGGAGGTTTTCAGCTATTATCTTTACAAGTTTCTGAACAATGAAAAATTCCTGATGATTGGACGATCTGTATGTTTCTTAAAATATTCTTAAAAAGGGTATAAGGAAGATCCACAAAATTATATGTGTAAGCTTCTTATTTCACTTCGGTTACTTATAAAATATTAAATTCAATTGTTCGATTTTTTGTTTGATGTGATTCAGATATGTTTGGAAAATTGCATTTAATGAAAAACTGTCTTGTCTTTCCAAAGTTGGAGTTTTATAAAAGTGCTCTTATTTTTCCAAACAAACACTTTGTAGTTTGTTTTAATGTATCTTGGATTTCATAAAACATTTTATAAGGTGCCAAGTAACACTGTAATTGCACATTTAACATTTAAGAAAATTACACTAATTTACAGCTAGTAGTATTAGTATTAATAGTATTATGTACGTCGACGCGAGAGTCGTATACCTAATCTTTTATTTTTAATCAAATTTTACTGATTTTCTATCTCAATACAGAATGCAAAACATACAATTCTAAAAACTTAGTTATATATTTCCATGCCATTGCCAAAGGTTACCAATGGGTATCATTAAGGTTAAAATTAAAACTGCGACAAACTTTGTAACAAAGTACTCTACAATACAAATGAAACCTGAATTTTGAAAGATACTTAGATAGCAAATGCAACACTAAGAATCCACAAAACCGATTTGTGCTACCACTACCAGCCTACAGTACAAGACAAATTATATTTGCACAAGACAAGAAACACTGTTCATAATTAATGACATTTATCATAAAATTTATTGTTACTAATAATAATATTAGACTTATTATCCTGCTTAGAAAAGGCGTTCTTAATATACCGAACGCTGTTCATATTTCCTTTCCACTTACCACCACAGGCTTAGATTAAAACGCAATATACATGCACTATTTTTATCAGCGGCTTCAGGAAAAGTGGTGAGGAAATTTATGAAAAGTAATTAATAATAATAATAATAATATTAACTTAATGTAAATAACACTTAAGTTAGAAATATAAATATACAGAAAGCAAGTATGTATAAATGTGGTGTTTACATAATATCTACACAAATAAAATTATTTATCTAAAGAATTTTACATTTAGCTCCATCAACCTAATTACATAATTTTTGTATATCCGATTCTCTATAGCCTTTAGAAACCCTAAAACAGCCGTAGAGAAAATAGCACTATACTAACTAAACGTATCAGAATGTATAAGACGGACAATATCGCATGTGTAAGTTTATTTGTAGTCCAAAGTGCTGTTCAACAGAATATTTGATCAAAAAAACAACAAAAAACGACGACAAGTTGAGGCTTCAGTGACATATTCTATCAGATGAATTAGTTTTTAATTAAGATATCTTTAAATCCTACTGTAAATGGGGTTGGATTTTGAAAGCCAAACGGTAATTTCATTATTGCCAAAATTAAATACTTTAGTAGTGTGACATTCTCAGATGCATCGACTTCCCCTAGTGTAATATTGTAGGAGCCATAGAATAACAAGAGGTTTCCACAGAAAATGAATTACAATGTGAGTTTGAATTTATTCATTTTTTTAACCACGACTTGGTTGGAAGTAAAACAAACAAACTAAAAAGACTGGGCACGATGACCAACTTACTGGAACAACCTTTATTTCGGACAAACACTACCAAAGTTTTAAACAAGTGTATTGTTGTAAGCTATTGTTAC